ATATATATATATATATATACTTTTTATTCAGCAAGGACAAATTAAATTGATCATAAGTGAAATATTTTACATTGTTACAAAATAATATATTTCAAATAAATGCTGTTCTTTTGAACTTTCTAATTAATTAAAAAATCCAGAAAAAAATGTATCACAGTTTCCACAAAAATATGAAGAAGCACAACTGTCTCAACATTGATAATAATAATGTTCCTTGAACACCAAATCATATTAGAGGATCACTGGACACTGAAGACTGGAGTAATGATGCTAAAAATTCAGCTTTGCCACCACAGGAATAAATTAAACATTTTCCTTTATTAAATTTAAATGTAATAGATTTAAATAGAAAATAGTTATTTTACATTTTAATAATGTCACAATATTAATTTTTACTGTAATTTGATTAAATAAATGCAGCCTATAGTGAACATAAGAGACCTTTCAAAAAGACAAAACTGATCCAAAACCTTTGAACAATAGTTATCTATTAGGTATTATCTAAAAGTAACATTTTAATACACTTACTCAGTGAATATTTAAATTTCTCCTCCAGAAATATGGTTTTAACTAAAAATTAAATTAAATGTCATGGGGGGAAAAGTAAATAAATCCACACACTCCCCATCTTTTTGCAGCCTACCAGGGGGTGCCATCATAGCCAGGCTCCTGGATATCGGTAAAGAATCGTGCATGGCCTGTGGCAAACTGTTAGAGACGAGAGGTCATAATGATGAAGTGCATATCTGCCCTACCCTTCGCTGCGCAGATTGGTTTTCTCGCTCTAGAGAAAGGACTGATTTCAGAACATCTATAACTGGCAAAAAGAAACAGACTGTTATACCAACCTGCTGGACAAAATTATTTCCTTTCACAGGTCATTATACTGCTCGCTGTGCTTCAGACTGATGGGGAAGCTCTGTGCTATCTATCTGAATGGCACCCCTCACATTCCACGAGGACCAAGAGCTTTATGTCTCATGACAGAACAATGATAAACATTTTTGATATGAATATAAGTTAAGCTCTATCGACAACATCTGTGATAGCAATAATACCAACAAAGACACTGTCACTGTAAGCACACTTTTTTCAACAAGGACGAAACAGTCTAGTTTGTGGAATCGGCAGCTTGTATTTTTAACCTGGCATATTCATTTCAAGGTGTTGAGGGCATATTATATATTATAGAATTATTACTAAAGAAACAGATTTTGCACTACATACAGCTCAATTGAACAAATTCATTTCAGTTAGCCTAGATCATTATTCTGATTAGCTTTTATTTTGCCATTTTGTAAATGTACAGAAAAGTTCTACACATAAATACTTGCATTTGTGAGTTTCAGAGACTCCAGTGATGAGGAGCAAGCAAGTTTATGGGAGACCGCTATAGGTGAGCGTGATTTGACCAAGTACAACATGTTCCTGGATCAACATCCTTGTTGATCCTGGAACAACATTCCAATTAACCAATCAGAACTGAGGGATAACTTTTCAGGAAATATCTGTTTTAGGCTTATGATCAGGGTTAGGTGCTTCTACACCCTTGTTAAAGTCACCATGAAATCAAAATTGAAAATTCTTATTTTTTTAATGGAATACTGTAGTGTTTATTATAAATAATTTATCCGTGCACTTCATTATTTGTTTTTTATTCATATGCCCTCATAATCTTTAAAGGGGTGGTTCATTTGCTTCTCAATCGGGCTCAAACTGATAAGCTATATTAACGATGTTGTTATTTACAATACAACCGGAGCACATGCCGCTGAGGTGAGGGACGTTTAGACGCGCACTAGAGGCGGTTTAGCCAATCACAACACACTGGGCTAGCTAACCAATCGGAGCCCATCGCCTATTTCTGAGGGCGGGGCTTCGTAAAAACAGGAAAAGATCAGTCCGTTTCTCAGAGAAGGGACAGAGCTGTGTGGAATAAAGGTAAATTATGAGAAAAATAATGTGTTTTTTAAAAAACTAAGCATTAACACGTTAGACTGCACCCCATAAACACAATCAAGCCTAGAAAAAAAAACCCAGTGAACCACCCCTTTAAGACTTCTCTCTATTCCTTAGTAAAAGTTTGTCTCAGCAGCTTTGTGAATAGGTTTTAAGAGAAAACTCTTAGCTAAACACTTTTACTGCTATTTTGGAGAACTCTCAGTGATAAGATAAAAGGTTTTGTGAATACGGGCCCAGGTGTCCAGAGTAACTGAGCAGCTTTGTCACATACTTTTGAGTTAAACAGATGCACAGGGCATCTTTCAAACTAGCAGTATTACCCTTGTCTTTTTTGTATGTGTTTCAGTATTTCTGATCAGGATCATTCTATATGGATCAACAACACCAAAATGTCGAGGTTAATAACAGAGTTTAAGGCCAAAGCTGCTTTATGCTTTCACAGATTCTTTGGTGTTGAATATAAATCTGTTATGTTATACCAGTTAAGAGTAGGCTGTGTGTTTTTATTATATTTTATCGCTTTGTCCATACTGCAACATAGGCATGCATGATGAAACTACAAAAAATGTTCACATGTTATCTCATGTAATCTCATCACATCTGTCAGAATGCGGTTGGTCTGGTTACATTACATTTACATGGTTATCGGAGGAATGTTGAGTATGAGCTGCAGTTTCTTAACAGTAAAACAAATATTTTAACTATTTCCATCTTTTTTACATTAAACTAAGAAATACCAGCCAATCTCTGTGTCTATCGCAAATTAACACATATTCCGTACACAACATATTCCCATATAAACTCTCAACACTATAAAAGCGTGAACATCCCCCTCGTGCGCGTGAAGAGTGGGCGGGTCGGAGGCGCGAGGCACCGCTGGTCAGGTGATGAAATACCGTCACTTCACTTCACCTGCTCTAGTTTCCGCATGGGACATAAAACAAGCCCAATGGACACACAGGTAAGCTTTTATTTTTGTTGTATTTAAATAGTTTATGTTTTCGTTTACTTACAAGATCCACTTGTAGCTATATTTCACCAATATATTTTCTTCATAATTTCCCCTCGATATTGCAAACGCAGAAAATGAATGAAATGTAGTTACTTTGATAAAATGTAATTTATTTGTATTCTTAATCTGGTCAATGTGGACTAATCGCAGTCGTGCAAATGCAATTGCAAGTTACATTATTTTAAACATTATACATAAACAGTATGAATATTTTTATGGTAATTTTAAATACGCTAAAACTAAAAAAAAAAACGATTTTACTTGTAATTTGCTTTTATGTGTCTTTTTTTTTTTTTTTGTGACCAACGCCCAAAGTAGATGTCAGTCATGCTAAACAGTACAGCACAGGAATGTATTGTAAGAGTAGCCTAGATAGAGGTAGTAACAGGTCTCTACAGCTCCTGTTCACCAGCAAACAAAGGGATTACAACTGATAAATGGAGGATTTAATGAGGAATGCAACAAAGCCTTGCCGTTATGTGTCGAAGGGTGGTTTCTGTCAATGAGAGATGTTTCTTTTTAGCTGTGCTTGAGTCTGAAACTATTCTCACTCTGTAGTACACAGATCTAGAATTGGCCATAAACACCTTGGTCAAAAACTTCCATTCAGCATCTCCTACTAATGCTGACACGCTCACAGCCCAGGAGTTCCAGAGCATGATCTCCAAAGAGCTGCCCACCATGGTGAAGGTAAGTCAGGACCTACAATCCAATCGTGACACCACTTAAGTACATTTCAGTCTCTCAAAACCTATTATAATATCAACCTAAAAGCTAAATTGCCATAATCAACAATGGTTTACTTCCCAGCAAACAGAGAGCATTCTCAGAGCTTTGACAAAACTTAAATTTCTTAGAACATATTTTTGTTAGCTGGGTTGATGTCATTTTGTCCAGGACAGACCAAAATTACACTTAAAATAAATATGAGAAATGATCATGATAATCTTTAAGTTTCCCACACCCTCTATTCTCTTTCAGACAGCAGGGGACCAGGAAGGACTCAACAAACTCCTGACGGAACTGAATGTGGAAGAGGGGAAGGGTGTCGCATTCAAGGATTTTTGGCGATTGGTTGATTCTCTGGCCACTGCTCAGTTTGGATTGCTGAGCAAAGAGAAACAAGTGAAATGTGTGAAATGTAGTCTGATGTAAGACCGGCCCTGAGTAAACAAGACCGATCAACATTGTGTCGGTGTCCACCACAGCCCTGAGAAAAACACATCAAATCAGCAGCTTCTATTTCCCATCACCCTCTGCAATACTGTACATGTCACTCTATTGGATTCTTTGTTATATTCGCTGAGGTCTTATAATAATTAAGTGTTGTTACAGAGCTTCCTGAATAAATACCCAACAAGCCCTTACGAGAC